TCCTTCGTCCCCACCTACCTCCTTCATTCCATTCATTCCCCGCCTCTTAGATGGCTTCCCTCTGCCTCCGCAGCCTTTTTCTCCATCCGTCTCCTTCATTCCCTGCCCCCATTCTCCGTCTACATTCAATTTAAGCAACTATATTAGTCTTTAGAGAGTTAACAATTAAAAATCAAGACATAAACCATAGATATACAGAGAAATTATTATTTAATAAAGTCTTTCTAATTTTAAAGACGTTTATCCGGTGTACACAGCTCAAATATGTTTAACATATTAATATATTTGACAGATTTCGTAAAGACTGATGACGAGCGGAAAAAATATAACAATTTTTTCCTCTATTGAATAAAATAATACGTTTTCAATTTTCGAATAAAAGCGCTAACTGCGATATATGAAGAAACGACAAATAATATTAAATATTTAATATATAATATATTGTTGCCTCCCAAAATCTTCCGTCTTAATTTTTCCGGCCACCAGCACGAAAAATGCCTTCGCTGAATTCTGTGCTGGATTTCTTTGAAGGCGTGTTCGAGGATCCTAGGACAGCTCCGCTGACTAGGAAGCTAGGAAGCGCCCGAGTCTTTAAAAGTGCTTTGCCGGGCTCATGCAATGTAGATGCTAATCATTTCCTGCTCGCTCTCCTCACAGTTAACCTCCTTTTCCCTCGCCACTAGCGGGTGGTTGCAGTTGCAAGAGCTGTCTGCTGTTGGGTCTTTGAATGGGTTGATCACTTCCTCGCTCTCCTCACAGTTGACCTCCTGTTCCTTCGCCTTATCGGGGTCGAGAAAGGAAAGAAGAGACTCTGGGGCGTGGAGCTCCCGGGCCAGATCACCCGCTGTCTTCCCTCGGCAGTTGCGAAGATCCAAACGGGCTCCCGCCTCAATGAGTGCGTAGCTGGCTTCAAATGCGCCACAGATAATGCTGAACATAAGCGGGGTGGCACCATGATGATGGTAGGCCAAGGTCGACAACCTTGATGTGCGGAAGCGGTGCTTGATACCGCCGATGGTCAAGATGGTCCTGTAGAAGAGGTTGTTGAAGCTATTCGCCGGGACGGCGTGCTGCTCATCGATGTTCGCTTTGGCTTCGAGCAGAAGCGATACAAGCCTTGCAGATCCCCCTCCGACTGCAAAGGAGAAGTGCAAACACTGCTCCAGGCTGTGGCCGGGTACATGTGCTAAGATCTCCTGTATGACATGCGGTGAGCCGGTCGCAGAGGCAATCTGCAAAGCTGTGCATACTGGAAAGGAAACAATCTTGTGGTTGATACCAGCTGCAAAAAGCAAAGGCACTGCTTCTCCGTTGTTGGAAACAGCTGCCCAGTGCAACGCGCTGTGAACACGATCATCTGTGGCATTCACATGTGCCTTTGCGGACAGAAGTACTCTCATCACTCCATTGTTTCGGAAACAGGCTGCAAGCGACAGCACGGACATGTTTCTGGGCAGATGGACGTCTGGCTTGCCTTTGCGAATTTTGTCATTCGCATCTGCCCGCATGGCCAGAAGAGCAGAAACAAGCCCTTGGTTGCCACTAACGGCCGCATAGCACAAAGGAGACCACCCTGCACCGTCCCTGCAGTTAATGCCATCAAGCCCATTTTGGTGCATGAACCAAGCCACGACATCCGCTGCAGCATCGGTATGGAAACCAGGAATGTCCGGTTCTATGGGAGCAGCATCCAGCTTGTTCAGGCGCACGGCCTGTTGATTCAACAGGAACCTGTAATTGTGAAAGTCGCCTTGAGCCAGAAGTCGCTGCAATTTGCGCCGCAGGAGTTGGACGATAAAGTTGGCCACTTTGGCACGGTCTTGCTCAAAGCTAAATCTGCCTTCGCCTGGGGAATACAAGGCGCCCGAGAATCCAGGCAATAAGCTCTGATGGCTTGCACTCTCCACAAGGACCACGAATCCCTTGGAATCGGACAGCTCTCTTGACATGCGTTCTGCCCTGCACCATGCTCTCTGCGCCCAAGTCCACTGGCTCAGCATTTGCGACTGCGTCTCATGTTGCAGAGCGGGGGACAGAATGATGAAGTAGAGACTCCGTGCAACGTAGGACGGGATGCTGCTGATGGCATGAGTCTGCCGTTGCACTGCTTCGCTGTCGATGCCCTGGGGGCAGGAAAAGAAGTCGTACCACACAAAAAGTGCTTCCGAATTCAGCTCGACAGAAGTGGGAACAGGTACACTGCCATAATATACTTCTGTGACAGCAGCCGTTGAGATTCGGCTCTGGCCAGAAAGAAGATTCCTCCAAGCTTCTTGCAGGACTCTCATCTGTTGTCCCTCTGGGTCCGGATGATGTCCACTAAGCCACTGATGGGAAACAAAAATCGCGGCCCCCATGGTTTCATAAAAAATTGTCAGGGATCCTGCCTCAAGCATCTCTTCGTGAGGTTTCACCCTGGTCAGACACAGGAGAACATCCATGGGCACGGTGTACATAGGAAAGAACTCTTCGCAAACCTCCAGATCCTCCATTCTGAGGGAGGAGGCATACTGCTCCAGAGCCGTGGGTCGCCTGCGGCGTGGGCACCGCGCTCCATGTGCTTCCATGCCTGTGCATAGCACAGCCAATTTGGCTAATTTTGAAAATTAGCTGCGGCCTTGGCCGCCGCTTGTCCCTAGGTGAGACCGAACCGAGCAGAAACTTGCGCCCGGGCAGGAGAGGGAATCTCTCAAAACAAAAGTTACAGGCTGTGGTGGAGCAGGGATTAGGGTGCAAAGTAGACAGAGCCGACCCGAAACGATTTGCCAACCCTGGATCTTATAGGAAATGATTAGCCCTGAAAAAACCGCCGAGGAGCTGACATCGATCCCAAATCAAAGCAGGGATGGGCTAGAGAAACATGGAAGCGTGAAGTATTCCAACAAACGTACTTATAGCTGCAACCACGAGAAGTGTGACAACAGACAGTAAATGCTGCGAGGGCTCTGGAGGCTTCCAACAGCACAATCACACATTTCAGTGTTCGTGCCGGTGTCTCATATCGCAAGACAGGCAGCTTCTTCTTCGTACCACATATCAAAATACAGCTCTTTTTTGCTCTTAGGCGTCTCGTGTCAAGCATTGCTAGTCTGGGTTCTGAGCAAGACGCTCCATGTGGTCTGTGGTTACCAGACCCACCCCCGACGTGCTAAGCTGACTTCGAACTGCTTTTTTGTCTTTCCGCATGCACTTCTTTCGCGCACTCGGCAGTATGCACGCCCCAAGCACAGCCTCACGCAGGCAGTGGGACGGCCAGCAAGAATCCACACCCGGGCTGCATGTTCCGTGGCTTGGGTGCCGGCAGGCCGACTGTTTCTCAGAACTCATGGAGGCCTTCTTCTTCGACTTCGCGCTTGGCCTTTTGGCGGTTAGTGCAGGGTGATTTAAAGGCATATCTCCTGCTGCAGAATATAGAATACGTTTGAAGCTGAAGACAGGAACCGAACGCTACACCACGTTACAACAGCCGATTTTGTCCGCTTAAGCCCAAGGCGCCTGCGGTAGGTACATAATCCTTTGGCCGGTCCTCGCACTGACACTATACAGATGCCACCTACAGGGACGCTTCCGACAAGGCAGATTCACACCCGTCTTATCTGTCGTGTGGCTGGGTATGGTAGCCAGTCAGGTACCTAGGATAAAAATCAAGCCAGTCGACGTTGGTCGACGTGACGACGTGTCAGTGCACGTTGTGATTTCACCGTGCCTAATGCACGAAATAACTACCCGCTTCATCAGGAAGCTCAGTTTGCTCCTCCGAACGGTGTCTGGCAGGCGCTGCGTCCTGGACTGTTGTGTCATCAGGAGCTGTTGGCGGCTCTCCTGCTCTGCCGCCGCTATGGGCACATCTTCGAGCACAGCTACCGTGTTCGTGGTGATTGTCCCATTCAGAAGGTGAGGTTTCATAGATTTGGTCAAACAGTCTGCTTCTTGCAGATGCGTCGGTATCCAACGGAGGTCGGGGGATATCTCTGTGCGGTGCGAATGCCTGGTGGCTTAGCTCGTCGCCTTCCCAAAGCATTTGGCGTAAACCAGCTAGCTCTACAGCTAACCGCTTGTCCTCGACCTGCTTCGGCACGGGTGAGAGCAGGTGGTCCGACAGATTACGACAGTCAGTGTATTGCACATGTACCATAGTACGGCGCGTGATTTCCTCCCAGTCGCCGCGCGTGGGCAGCTTACCAAGGAGCTCCAACACGCTCGCTCGCAGACAGACGATCACCATGCTCGGTGGCATTGCGGGAGATAAGCTTCTCATTGCTTTGCATACCCTCTTCATGGTGGATGAACTGAAGGAGATAAGATGCATCTCGTGCTGCTTGGCTTTGCGCTGCCTTTTGCGGCGGCCTCATGCGACGTAAGGTATTGCAATCGGCCTCTCTGGGGCTTATGTCCAGGTTCTCCTGGGAAAGACGTGTCGCAGAAAGTAACCACTGCAAGTTTTCCGGACTGCCAAGGTAGGTGAGCCCGGTAGACTATGCTACGGTCGGCGTCGTTCAGCGCCGACAAGGCAACAGCCCTGTTGGCTTCACGCAACGTCTCTACGGTAGCGGTTGTGACGCGTTGTTGTAGTGCATTCACTCGGTATGCCAAATCTGGCCTGGTTGCACGAGCGACCCAAGCTAATGAGCCGGTAACTGACCTCAGAGCTGTCCTCTGGGCATGCGACACCGGCATGGCGGCCTTTTCGTCCTTGCGCATTTCGATGGGCCTTATAGCCTTCGTATTATCACGGCAGTGAACCTCTATGGTGCCGTCTGGGCGCTGTGTGTACTCGCGTCCACAAAAACGAAACTGGTCTGATTCTACCCGGCCAATCTTGAACCGGTCAAGCAGTCGCTGCATCACTACCTCGCCCTGTGCGGCCCATAAGAAATCATCTACATGGGTACACAGCGCTGCGCATAGCGTCCCTTCCTTGTCTGTGAGGAAGTACAAGGCGGATAGAAGTCGGGACGTCTTCAAACCGAGTTCACGCTCTCCTTTATACGGAGGCAGAGGTTTCTTTCGGCATCGGTTGTGCCGTATACTGGTACACGGGCTATCGTAACCCGGCTTGCTGAATTTCGGCATCGGGAACGCTCTTCGGATGCTTGGGCACCCTTAAAATGAGGAGCCTCTCCAGGGGTTTTCCCTGAAAATAGGCATTTGTAATATCTGCTGCTTTGAGGCGTAGCTGCAGATGGGCGCAATGCTTTCCTGCTCCGCGGTGGGAAAGTCGGCGCGGATGTCTTCGCCGTTCATTGGTTCGAAATTTCCGCAAGCTACCAGTCGTGCCTCCCACTTGGGTGTATACCCAGGTGTACCTGACAAATGCTCATTCTTGTCAGTCAAAACCCACTTTGTGGGAATGCATACATGCGGCCTTCACCACGGCATTTGCCAAACAAAAACCTTACCACAAGCACCCGCGGAGCCTTCACCACGGCATTTGACAAGACAGAAACCTTACCACAAGCACCCGCGGAGCCTTCACCAGGGCATTTGCCAAGACAACAACCTTACCACAAGCACCCGCGGAGCCTTCACCACGGCTTTTGCCAAGACAGAAACCTTACCACAAGCACCCGCGCAGCCTTCACCAGGGCATTTGCCAAGACAAAAGTCTCACCACAAGCACCCGCGGAGCCTTCACCACGGCATTTGCCAAGCCAAAAACCTTACCACAAGCACCCGCGGAGCCTTCACCACGGCATTTGACAAGACAAAAACCTTACCACAAGCACCCGCGGAGCCTTCACCAGGGCATTTGCCAAGACAAAAACCTTACCACAAGCACCCGCGGAGCCTTCACCACGGCTTTTGCCAAGACAGAAACCTTACCACAAGCACCCGCGGAGCCTTCACCAGGGCATTTGCC